TTGATGTGATTGTGGGAGGACGCGATAGCGTTTACCTATGCCGCCATCTTGACCGGAAGTCCAATCTCTGACTTTTGATTGGATTGTTTAATCCATTCACATAAAATTTTTTTTTATCCTGCCCAGCCAGTGTGGCTCAGTGGTTGAGTGTCGACCCATGCATGAAGAGGTTGCTGGTTTGATTCCTGGTCAGAGTACACGCCCAGGTTGTGGGCCCAATTCCCAGTTGTGGGCATGCAGAAGGTGTCCAATTGATATTCTCTCTCATCGATGTTTCTGTTTCTCTCCCTCTCCCTTCCTCTCTCTCTAAAATCAATAAAGAAAAAAAAGTAGTAAGAGTTTATCTTTATTGCTGAAAGGCTTACAGATGTCTCCCCTTCCTCCCCTCATTGACTTCTTCCACCCATTCTTATGCGCCCCCCCCCCCCCGGCCTTCACCACACTATTGTCTATGTCCATGGCTTATGCCTATATGCCTATAAGTTCTTTGGTTAATCTTGTCACATTTAATGTTATTACTGATATAGTTGGATTCACATCTGCCAGTTCATTATGTCTCATATCTTTTTGTTTCTGTTCCTCTTTGTTGCTTTCTTTTGCATTAAGTATTTTCTATTATAACATTAATTATATTCTCAGTTTGATTTTCTATTTTCTTAGATTTTACTATAGGACTTACAATATATATCTTAACATAATTTACTTCGGATTTATGCTATCTTAATTGCAGTGAGATACAGAAATGTTATTCCTATACACCTCTGTTCCATCTTTCTCTTTGTTGTGCCATTCCTGTTATGTTTAAGACATATATGTATGTTAAAAACCCAACAATCCATAGTTATACTTAGCACTTCATCTTATTTTATGCCATTTATAGAAGGTGAGAGAAGTATATATTGTAGTTCTAGTTTTTCACATTCACTTTCTTGTTTACAATTTTTAGTGTTCTTTATTACCATAGATTAAAGTGACTATCTGGTATAATTTCCTTACTCATATATACCTTTGCTCCTATTTGCTCCTTTGTGCTATTTTTGTTTAATATATTACATTTCAATATGTTCTAGTCTGATCAATTAAATTATATATCTATTGTTTCATACAGAAATATGCATTTATACTGCTTTTTAATAATTAGATATTACCTTTACTGGTTCTTTTTTTTCTCTTTGCATGTGGATTTGAATTACTATTTGTGTTTCCTTGTTTTCATCTCAAAGAAGATTTTTTTTAGTTTTTTTTCTTGTAGAGTGTGAATTTACTAGTAAAGAATTCTCTCAATTTCTGTCTTCCATAAGTATTTATTTTGCTCTCATTTTTGAAATGCTAATTTTGCGGGACTCAAAATCTTCCACAGGTTTTTTTCTTTCAGTAGTTAGTCTATCACTTCCCTACTTTCTAAGCTCCATTGTTTTTGCTTAGAATCAGTTGTTAAACTTACTGCTGTTCTCTGGTGAATGGTAAAACATTTATCTTGCTGCTTTCAAGATACTCTCCTTGCCTGTAGTTTACAGCATTTTTACTATGTTGGGTCTTGATTTAATTTTTTTTGTGTTTATTCTACTAGAAGATCATTGAGCTCCTGAGTGTGTAGATTAATGTTTTTCCTTAACCTTGGGAGTCTTTGTCATAGTTTCTTTGAACATTTTTTTTATATGCCTTTCTTTCTCCATTTCTTCTGGTACTCCTATTACAAAAACTACTTCTGTTATGTTCTGGTAATCCTTCTGGTTGGTGTGCTTAATGGTGTCCTACATCTCTATTACTGTTCATTTTTCTTGTCTTTTTTTTCCTCTTCATTGCGTTGTATAATCTTTATTGATCTAACTTTATATCCATCGCTTCTTTCTTTTCGAGTTCAAATCTGTTGCTGACCCCTCTAGTGAATTGTTTATTTTAGTTTTAATATTTTTTAACTCTAGAATTTCTACTTAGTTTAAAAAAAAAATCTGTCCTAATATTGATAATATTGTCATTATACTTTACTTCATTACTCATGATTTTATTTAGTTCTTTGAACATGTTTATAAGAGCTGATTTAAAGTCTGTATCTAAGGATGATCTGGACCCTCCTACAAGCAGCTTCTGTCGCCTGCTTTCTTTTTCTTTTGTACAATTCACAGTTTTCTGTTTCATTGCATCTCGATATGTTAATAAACTGGCTATTTTAAATAATGCATTTTATTAGTTTTTGATATTGATTCTTTTCTTTCCACATCCCCAGGACTGTTGTTTGCGACTTCCCTGGTCTATTCTAGTGAAGTCTTTTCTTCTACAGGGTGAAGCCTCGGATGTCCCTTCTCAAAGGGTACAGTCCTGGGCATGTGGTTTTAGCAGGGTTCTCTTTGACTGTCTTCCCTGATCTCTCTGTTATACTGACTGCCTCAGTTAATAGCCCACCCAACTGATAAGCTTCATTTATTGCCAGCTCATTGCTCTTTTGGGGGGGGGGGGAGGTGAGGGTGGCTATGCCAGGGGCATAGATTGCTCTATAGTCTGATCCAGTTAAGTTTAGGTCCCTTTGCAGAGTGTTTTTTGAGGCCAGTATTGGAGGTTTGCTCTGATCCGAGGGAGGCTCTTGTTCGTTGTCTCTTTCCCTGGTGTTCTCTGGTAAACTAGCTGGCTGGCAGTTGAGCTCTTTGGACTCCTGTAGTTACTAGCCTCCTCTGAATTGCTTACGTGATAATTTCATTTCTTTTGAGAGTGCCCTAGGGCTTATACTTCCTCACCCTCTTTTCCAAATAAAGAGAGTTCCCTTGGGGAAAGCCTCATACCTTTCTGTTCCTAGAACCTGTCTCTTGCCTTGTGAACAATCACTGTACCACGACTTTGGAGCTGTGGGTGGGCATGATGCCCATTTCTCTCGGAATGATACCCCTACTTCATGCGTGGGGGCTGCCCTGGGGCATTAGAAGACTCCCCTATCTCCTTTTGCCTCTTCTGGTATAGAACCTCTGCACTGTGTGTGATCTGGGGCAAGAGGTCCCAGAATTCTCTGCCTACGATTTTGGGGGCAGATCCTCACCATATAAGTGGGTGTCTCCAACCTCTTAGCCACACTTGCCTGTTATTTAGCCTCTGTGAGTGACAAGGAGCTGAGCAGGATGGGAAATGTCAGCACGCTGCTTCTTCCATTGGGAACTAGGGGGAGTGGGAGCCCCGTATTTTGGCTGTACCTATTCTAAGAGGAGTATCAGACATACTAAACTGGGTGTGGAATGAGGGAAGACATGGATCATGACTTGAGTACCACAGGCTCTGTTCTCACCAAGATTTGGTAGATTTTCTTGAGTAAATGTTTTTTAATTTGCTGACTTCCCTTAGGACAATTTTAAAAGGCTTTTATATGTCTGTTTTTTAAAAAATACTCTTCACTATTTGTAGTTGTTTTGCTGGGGAGAGACTCTGCCGAGTTCCTCATGTTGACAATTTGTATGTCTCATGTTTTCTTGTAAATAAATTTTTACTTCATGTCCTGGCATAAAATTACCTATAAGTAGTCGTAATGGAAATTTATTTATTTTTCCTTAAAGAGCAGTATGTGTGTATACATGTGTGTGCATGTGTTTCTTTCCTGTTTTGTCTTCTATGCCCTACTGATAGGCTTGACCAGTTGGGCTTCTTCCTTGCCTACCTCACCTACCTTTCACCTACTTGGACATGTTTCTCCCTGTCACCCCCGCCTGTCTTCTCATTGTTGCTTTTATGCCTAGGGTCCAAATTTTCACTTGAGTCACTGGAAACGGTGACACAGTTTATAAACTGTCTACATGGCGCATACATTAACTTTGGTTTTCAGCCCATCCCTTGGCTTTTGTAAACTGGATCATGGACTGTCTACATCTTGCTCAGATGTTGGTCTTAAGATCAAACTTGTATTTTTGTGTTAGGTTCACGTGCTGCAATCCCCATAGAGGAAGTTAGGATATTTGGGGTACAATATAAGGAGGTTTGCCTACCATAGGAACTATATTTTTAAGGTTACTTCTCCAAGGCAGCTGTTTCGTAGTGACCTTTAAAACTATATTACAATGAGACTGTATTAAAGATAAAGGTAAAAGTTGTCAGGTATAAAGGTGTGCTTTTTAAATAAAGTTGAAATGCATCTATTAGTGAGACAGAGCTCTTATCAGAGCAGTTGAGATGAATGGATATGTAGCCTCAGGGAGCATGCCATTAAAGCCCTTTGAAGGGAACTGCTTTTCCCAGGGATTAGAGCAAGACCTAAGTTCATTGTTACATCGGTTGTTGTTGTGTTTCATTTTGGAGATCTTAGGAAATATGTCTGTTTCCTTAATTATCTAATGTGTAAATTAAATCTTTTGAAGGCACACTAATTAGTAATTCATGTATAATTCATTTTAGTTCTTTCATAATAGTCTTTCTCTTTCTTTCTCCCATTTTCAGGGAATGCCCAATTATATCTTTGCATCCTTTTGTAGTATTTGACCTCAATGGCCTGTATGAAAAGATTTTGAGCCTATAATGAAGAAAACTTTCTACCTCTTATTATATGGAACTGTAATATATGAGATTTTTGTTGTTGTTGTTAACCCTCACCTAAGGGTATTTTTTTCATTGATTTTTAGAGAGAGTAGAAAGGAGGGAGGAAAGGGGAGAGAGAAAGAGAGAAACATCGATGGTGCAAGAGACACAATAATTAGTTGCTTCCTGCAGGTGCCCTGACTGGGACTGGGGATGAACCTGCAACCCAGGTACATGCCCTTGACCGGGACTCAAACCCGGAACCCTTTGGTGCAAAGGAGGCTGACGCTTTAACCACTAAGCAACATCAGCCCGGGCAAGATTGGTTTTTGATGTGACATTGTTTTATTTATGAACCAAATTAACACTTGTTCAGATATTTTCTTGAGGTAGTTTTCTGAAGGTATAAATAAGATTTGCTTTCAAAAATAAGATTCAGAGTTTGGAATGTTACTTCAAAATATTTTCCAAGTGAAATAAACGTGTTACCTTCCTCTTCCTTTATGATTTAGGCAGCAGGAGCAATTCAACCTCTTGTATCCACGGTTATCAGCCCTTCTGCTGATGGTTGCTTAGACCACTCACTGGAACGTGCCAGACACAGAGCAAGTGAGATGCCACAGGCTTTTCTGTATGATGTGATCTATGCAGCATATCAGCAGGTAAGAATTCTGGCTTTTTGAGATAGCTGCTGTATTGGGGGTATGCAAGACCACCCCTATATTTGGAGATTTTCTAGTACAACTCAGTATATAGTTGACTCTTGGCTTAAATCGATTACAGTGTAGTAGTGAAAATGCACAGCGGGGTCCTATGAGAAGGAGGCAGGCAGGGTCTGGAGGAGTCCATGTGCAGGCTTCCTTATGCTCTCTCCCTCCCCTGAAGGGTAACATGAATACCACCTTCCCCTCCAGCAAAACAAACCCAGCAACTTATGCACGATGCTTTTCCCCAGGGAAGCCCATTAGAGATTTGGTGTCCTGCATGTTTATTGGGGTTGGTCACACAGACATGCTGCCTATCACATTAAAAAAAAACCCAGATTCCCAGAGGAAAGGTGGTGTTTAACATAAACCATATTGTTTATGCAAACAGTCTGGGCATGGTCAGCCTCCCTTATCAGTTAACTGTTCACTGGGAATACTCCAAGAGCCAATTTCCCAGGTGCTGGCTAAGGGCCCACCTAGTTAACAGGTGTTTCTAAGGATCGCAGTCTCAGGCGCTTTGTGGTAAATTTTCTGCATAGCTGCGTAGACATCGTGTTAATTAAAAATTTAAAGGTAAGTTCTTTTAAAACATCAAATAATTTATTCATGTCTAGATTATACTAGATTACCTTTGATTTGTTTTGCATGTTTTGGAAACATTTTTGTACCTATGTAAATTTTACTGCCACCAATTTTCTTATTTATTGGTTAAACAGTTATTGACTATCAGGCATTATTCTTGTCTGAAATGTCCCAATGAAATATAAGTTACAGAGTAACCCAGTAGGTGGTTGCTGTTAGGCAATCAGTAAATATGAGGTAATGGTAATGTGTATATTGACATTTAAAATAGAAAAATACCACATATTTTGGATAGAGGGTGGTTAATCACATACATACATTAAATAATGACTCAATTTTGACTATCAGTTATTGTTTTAAAATGAGATTATGTAAATTAGAATTTATTTTAATGATATGGATCGTCAACCATGGTTTATATTGCTTTCTTAAAATGATGAATTTGAAGTATAGGAATTTGCCTGTATTTCGTCACTAATCATATAAATGTTATGCTACTATAAGTTTCTTTGCTCTTTTTAAAAAATTCATTATCCTATTTTATGGCCTAAATCTTGCTGAGCTAGACTACATCTACCATCTTTCCTGAAATTAATGAAAGAATTTATTTATTCTTATATAAGCATTTATATTAGAAAGAATAAATATATGATATCTATATTTTAGACAAAAATTTGAATATAATCTCACACTCCTCACATTAAAGTATCCCTTTGCAACGGATTTTGCTGGTTAATTAAGCCATGATGCATTGAGGCACTGGACCTCAAATATAAGTTTTCTCTTTTCTGGAAATTAGACTGCCTTTTTATCTTGCTACCTATCCCTTAGATATTAGATAAATCATCACTTTTCTGCTCTTTTATCCCCTCCACAGACTAGGTTAGGTCAACACACTATAAGTTTTCCCAGTGCTCTGTTTTTTCTGCCCAGCATCAAAATTATAATTCATTACTCGGGAAGCCATTTATAAAATACCTGACTCCCCTGCTAGACTCTGAGCCTTTCAAGACAGAGACAGTATCTGTGTTGTTCTTAGCAAGCTGTGTGATATATAATTAGTACCAAGTACATACTTGTTCAGTGGAATAAACATTCAAGATATGCGTGTGTATAAATATATGAAAAAGAGCCTACGTACTTGTTCTTCCCTCTACTTGGGCCACTTTCTCCAGATAATCACACTGTTTGTTTCCACTCCTCATTTAGGTCCTTGTGCAAATGTCACCTCCTCAGAGAAGCCTGCCTTGATAATCTTTTATGAAATAGCATCCTCTATTGCTACTAGTATGTCAGTCTCATGGGTGCAGGGACTTTTTATTTCTTTAGCACCTAGAAGAGTTCATAGCTTGTATGAGATTCTTAATATTGTAAAATGAATGAGTTTTATGCATACATACATATGTATATGTAGATACATATTTAGGTGTTAACAATAATGTCAATTATATAAAAAGCTTTGGGTAGCCCTGGCCAGTTTGGCTCAGCGGTTAGAGCGTCGGCCTGCGGTCCGGAGAGACCCGGGTTCGGTTCCCGCTAAGGGCATGTACTTCGGTTGCAGTTTGTCCCCGGCTCTGGTTGGTCGTGCGGGTGGCAGCCACTCGATGTGTCCCTTCACGTCGATGTTTCTCTCTCTCCTTCCTCTCTCTCCCTCCCACTCTATCTGTACAAAAAATGGAAAAATATCCTCGGGTGAGGATAAAAAAAAAAAAAAAAAAGCTTTGTGTAGGCATAATACACACACACACACACACATCTTTATAAATTTTTCCTGGAACCTTTTAGGAAAATCTGAACAGTTTTTAGAAGTATGGGCAAGGCTTTGGTTACAAAGTTGGTGATGGCAGCACTTTTGTTAGTGTGAAATTCTACGTAGCCTGTATTTCTAGAGATCAATTAGTAACAATGGTAGAAAACTATTTTTTTTCCTTCATTGATTTTAGAGACAGAGGAAGGGAGAAGGAGAGAGAGATAGAAACATCGATGAGAGAGAGCATTGATTGGCCGCCTCCTGCATGGCCCCCACTGGGGATTTGGCCCACAGCCTGGGCATGTGCCCTGACTGGGAATTGAACCTGTGACCTCTTGGTGCATGGGTCGACACTCAACCACTGAGCCACACCGACTGTGCACTGGTAGAAATTTTAAAGGGTCACTTGAAGTTGTGCTTCTGTAGAATTTTTGGGCATGGAATGCTCATGATAGGTTGTTATATTAATAGTGATATAACATAATGATACAAAGTTATATTAATAACTATATATAAAACGTATTCAATATTCTTATAGGTTTAACTGTATATGTGTAGAATATTAATTGCATAATTAAGTACTGAAAAGTTATTTATATTTATGTTTGGGTTAATATTAATTTAAAAGTAATTAAAATCTAAAGGTGTGATAAATATTTATGATACATAAATACTTAAGTATTATTTCGATTGTATTTCTATTGGTTTTAGGGATTTTTTTCTGTAAGTAGGTATTTGTTTATTGGTTTTCTTTTATTGCTAAAGATCATCTAAAATTTATTTCATTTCTTGGGAATTTTTTTTTTTTATCCTCACCCGAGGACATTTTTTCATTTTTTGTGCAGATAGAGCAGGAGAGAGAGGAAGAGAGAGAGAGAAAGAGAGAGAGAGATAGAAACATCAACGTGAAAGGGACACATTGAGTGGCTGTCACCCGCATGACCCAGCCAGGGCCGGGGACAAACTGCAACAGAGGTACATGCCCTTAGCGGGAACCGAACCCGGGTCTCTCCGGACTGCAGGCCGATGCTCTAACTGCTGGGCCAAACCAGCCAGGGCTTGGGAATTTTTAATGACACATTATGTTATGAGGTTGCTAAAGGAAATTATTGCTAAATTAAACAATGTCATTCAATAGTGAAAATTATACAGTCTCTAGAAACCTGGGGGAAAACCTGTGTAATTGGTGCAGAGGATTCTTATAAACTCTTCAAATACGTAATTCTTCTATGCAGTTTTAGGAAAATAAGAAATTTATGTAGAATGAAACTTTTCAAATTACATCAATCTATTTCTTGAGAAAATTGCTGTCATCACAGATGGTATTCTGGACTTTATTGTATAGACACCTGCCTTATTTCTAACACTCAAGTTTTTAGGTTCCTCTCAGAAAGAGAATTTTAGAAGGTGACTTGTTAATTCAGTTTGCGTGAAAGACGGCAGGACTCAACCAGTGAAAGAGTGCTCATTATGTTGTATCTTTCGGTTTGATATCTTAGAGTTTACTGTGGAGATATTTAATATTTAAATACAATAGCTTCTCAATATCCATTAGAAGAGTTTTTTAAAGTGCCTGTTTAACTTGAAAAGGTAAAAACACCCTTAAGTAACACAATCAAAGCAAACCCTTCTATTATTAAAGATTCCTGTCCCGTTAGTCTCCAGGTACAAGAATATCATAATGTTAAGGACTACAGCAGGGATTTCCTTTTGTAGTATGTGTCCTGCCCCTATCTACATGCATTAGAATAAATAGAACTTGAATCTTGTACTGAGGACTAACACATCAGACCTTAAATGCTGAAACCAGTCTAGAAGACTAAATTTTATGAAGGGCGTCTTGTCTTTATATCCAAGAGCATGCAGTTTTCAGAGGTTTTATTGCCATTTTTACAGCGTGTAGTTCCCCGAAGGGGGGGACTTTGATGAATGTTTCGTTGGGCCCAACTGGATTTGAAGGAGATTAGGAAAAGCCTCAGAGCAGTCTCAGAAGAAATCTCATGTTACATGGGGTTTGAAAAGGAAACGTGGGAAGGGATAGAGGAGGGTACAAACCATTTTTTAACAAATGGAGGATTGAGGACTGGACAGGAGTGAAAACATCATTGGGGGAGAGTGAGGGAACCATGGAAGAATATGTGAAGAAAATGAGTGAAAAGGAGAAATGAGGGATTTAAAGATAAAGCTTTCTGAGTCCTAAGAGCTGACTTGTTACGACCATCATTTTGCTCCTCATAAATGTTAGCTGCAAACCAGGATAGCAAGCTGCACATATTATGGATAAAACCATGACCTATGTATTATTTATGGTACTTTGTAAGACAAAACAAATTCACAACTCTGGTATTTTTGAAGAGTTATTTAAACACTTTCCAAGGTCATTCTTTTTCCTACTGGTCATATTTCTTATGGTTTTATCCCATCCCTTTGTTGTCTCCCCTGCCTTTATTTTTTCTTCTACCAGTTTTTCTAGGGAGGCTGCTATAGCCAGATAATTTTCCTGGTCCCAGTTTTGGAAAAATCCTAAAGTACATTTTGTGACACTGGCTAGGACCTCCTTTGAGAACAATTTCTTCACCTCTAGGAATTTCTTAGTAGCCTAAATTTATAAATTATTTTTGTG